GAGAAGGATCAATAGAGAACTGCTTAAAGGAAATAGTCAATCAATATCTCTTGCCATGATTCCGTGGAGATAAAGATGGGAGGATGCCCATGTAGCTCGGATCAATCCATCTGGATAATATGAAAAAGACCACGTGGAAGACCAAAAAGCAGATGGATTGACTGAACCAACAAAGTGCAATGGAGATGCATGGAGATAACTGGCAAAAAAAACAACACAAGATTGGTAGAGATGGAGAAGGCGCGTTAATGCGTCAAAAGACGTATTTAATGCCAACAAAAAAAAAAAAAACAAGAAAAAATTCCTTAAAATAAATAGAATTTTCAATTCACAAATCATAGCAATATAGTCTTAAAAGTATTTTGTTTTTCTCAAATAAAATATAGCATTGACTATTAGATGTAATTTAACCAATAAAAAAAATAAATAAAAAATGAAAACTGTACAACTACAACCCATGATTGTTTCATATTAGATGATTATTCTCGCTCAATCTTCCCTAAGTTTAGCCCCAGTGATGCGGTTGAGAGAGTAGCACAGGGATTTCCTGGAGTAATGCTTTTCCCTCTACAGTTGGAGGGACAAGTTTGACTCGGAGTTTCCTCACCTGATTGTAAATAGTGTATATAGGTATGCATGTGTTCTTTTTATTTATTTATTTATTCTTAGGTTATTTTATTCTTACTTATTGTATATATATTATTTCTCTGTGTAATTTATTTTTATTTATTGTACATAGAGTGTGAATGTGATCTCTGAACACTATTATAAATGTCCTTTGAGACAGATTGTAATATTTCTCAAAATAAAAAAAAGGTGCTTATTAGGTGATTGGGCCAGTATCACGCTCAACAGCTAGATTTCCCCCTTTAATTAATTATTTAATTAAGATAACCCACTTTATAGAGGCTGGGTGTGCTTTAGGAGGATCGATCCAAATTACTAATCATCAGCCGGATTCGAACCTGGGAACATGAGCTCTAGAAGTCTGCTCACCCATTGAGCTACCATACTCCCAAGTTTAACAAATAGAATATTAACACTTTGAAAGCCAATATAGTGCAAATACCTACAGACAAGAATTTATCTGCACTAAGTGGACGCATTTTTAGCTGATCATTCTATTAAAAAATAAACAAAATATTAATTTAGATATAGTGGAGGTTCTTGCTATAGAACGCAATCACCAACCACTAAGCTTGATTCAGGAAATGATGCACATAAAAAAGGAATAATAATAAAAAAATAAGTGAATAAACCCAACGATTTTTCCGCGTTAGATCATAATAGCACTAAAACTAAGATTGATATTATGAACAGGCTATTTATTTTCGATTTATTTAAGCAACAATAAATAAATAAATAATAAATCATATTGTACACCGACTCAGAGAAACCGAGTCCCAGAGATAATTTTCTGGGCTCCCTCAACTACTACTTATAATACACTACTTAAATCCAACCGAAGCCTGTTATAAACTATGCAACAAATAACAAATATATAGTATAAATATATAATATAATACATATAACGTTGTCTACACTTTAATTTATTGTAAATTTCGAAGCTCTAGCTAGCAGCTTCTCCCTCGCATCGAGCCTGTATTGATTTTATAAACAAACTACTCATAATTATAGATTTGATTATATTCTTTTCATTAATGCTTATATATATATATATATTTATATTTATTTATTTACTTTAAACAGATATTATTTTAATGAATGTAGGTACTTAATTTTAATGAAACTAATATTTGTCTGTTTTTATTTTGGATCGGATATTATTATTATTGTTGCTGTTGTTTATTTTCTTGACGACACATAATTCGGTGTATATAATTAATTTAAGCAAAGGAATGGTACAGTTATAATTTCCCTAGGCTATCAAAACAGTGGAAAAATATCGAACTGTTCATTAATTAATAAACAAAATGTCAATTAATTAAAATCAAAACCAAGCAGTACTGTTCATAGAAAGTTTTAAAATCGCAAGTTTTTAAATTTTTGTTTGAATCTTCATTTCAGATGAGATAGAAGATAGATTAGATGTAATATTAATAAAGCATAAATAATTTAATTATATTTTTTTTTATTAAATTAGAAGTATTAAAATGATTACATTATAGTAGTAAAAGATAAAACCTGTTCTACCTTAATCCAAATGAAAGTACTTGTAATGGTAATTTAATAATTGAAAAATTTCAAATGAATTTAGATTATTTAATAAACGATAAACATACAACAATTAATAAATTAATTACGCAATATCGATCTGATGAAGCTAAAAGAAGTCAGATATTTTGCAAACAGTGGCATACTCTGACAACTTGAGGAACTCCTGAGTAATTAGGTAATTTTATTGATATTGGTACCTTTATCCTATACACGGCATCCATATTGAATTTAAACAAGTAAAATATACTTGCATTTTTATTTTTCAAAATATTAAAAACTTGCTATGGAGGAAACGCCGACATTTTCATGAGCGATTAAGCCTCAAAATAAGATTTTTTGAAATTAAAATGAACCCATTAAAAAACTTAGTCGAGAACCACATCTTCGATCCTTTGCAATTTTTCGAAATGCCCAACGGTTTTAAAAATATTTCAATTTTAAAACAAAAATTTTTTGTTCACTTACAAAGTTGTATCATTCTTCTTACATAAACGTTTAATTAATCTCCTGCATCAAAAAAAAAAATCAGATTGACTCTCAGCTGACGTCAATATAATTGACTAATAGGGCTATGCGTTATAAGTATAATAAATATTTAAGTATATAAATATAAAAATATTATTGATTTGTATATTTACACGATTTAGATAATTGCAGTATTGACGCAGAACCGTTCTGTTTTTTCATTTAACTTGTTTTATCGTGTGGTAGATCAAGAAGAATATGGTACCAAGTGGAAAATTGATATTTTTTGTCGGTTGTTTATTTTAATTCTACAGACGACGTTTACTAACTGAAGAGCTGTTTATCTATTTCACGTGTACTCAATATATTGGGTATAAATATTTACGTATCATATTGAGTTTTGCAACTCGATTCATTGTAAATTATAATGTAAACTTAAATCATAAATTATAACCATTTATTTATTTCAAACGAAATCCAATTCGTCCGAAGTGAAATATTTAAATTAAATAATTGTTACCTGATCAAACACAGCAAGCCAAAAGACGGGTTTTCGTGGACATGGGCATAGAACTCGTAAATTATGTCGGATATACTTCATATTTAGTACACTCACGTTTTCAAGGCCAAAGAACACGGAATATAACGTTAACATTATAAAATTTTCACGAAAAACAAAAAAAATCTTGGTTTCTTTGCTTAAACCAGGGGATTTTTAAATTTGACAATAAATTAACTTCGAAAATGATAGAAACCTTATTAAAGGCATAATTATTTAACGGTGTTGTGTTTGTTTATTTATTTAGTTTAGAACGAAAATAAAGGATTGTTATATACAGTTAAAATAATAATATAAAAGTTTATTTCTTATCTAGGTAGACATAATTAAAATTTTAAAACAATCTCAACAGGACAAACTTTTCAAAAATATGATAAATCACTTTGGTCCACCTTTGTTACAAGCTTAAAATGACTATAAACATGATGCAAAATAATGATTTTTGTGCCCTACAGGTAATTGTAAAGAAAAGTAAATTTCATGAATTATAGAATACACCGCCAATTTTTGAACCACCCATATCATACTGAGAAAGTGTGTTTGACACTTTAAAAAAAGTAGAAAATTTCGGAAGAGTCTATGTTTACAGTATACCAACAGGTTTTGCTAATTAGGCTTCTAGCTTTATAAAACAAATTGAACAAGATATGTCCACAAGTACATAGTTATTGATGATATCATGAACGTCACGACTTTTATCACAATGTTCCTTTAATTTGAAAAGGCAGAAATAATTTCTAATTTAACTTCAATAGTTAAGTGCTTATCTCCAGTTGGTGTTGGACTTCTAGATTGAATAGTTGAATGACGCGGTTTTTAAAACACCAGAGGCATAATAAGTATTTTATTTATATTTCATGAGTGCTACGGTGTTTTATTATTTTTTTTTTTCAAATAAACATTTATCTAATGTAGTTTCGTATGTTTTTTTCCCCGTAAATATCGATCTATGAGAGAAGTGTTTATGTAATATTAATTGGAATATTTCCTTATTTCTATAACTCATGAACGTCACACAGTCAGTAAAACAAAGGTATATATATATATGTATGTATATAAATCTATATATATTTATATATTTATTTTTCTAGTCGGCCCAAGACTCCCACTGAAGTTCTATGCTACCTCAAAAGCTATATTAATATTGTACAGATAGAAAATAGCAAACAATCATGAATATCCGTTATAATTTTTATCTAGAATGGTTCTAGAAGACATTACAGTAGCTAAAAGTTTAATTTTTCCCAATAAATTTTAGCACGAAAAACTACTATTAAATACCCAGTTGGTACATTTATTTTGAATATGATCTTTTTAACACCTCTTAAACTTAAATTATAAAATTCAGCTATTTTTACCATACCTCGCATAGATACGCATCATACAGATTACTTTACGTATTATTTTTTCATAAAATATTTCGTTCTTATCCACATGTCAAATATAAAATATTTCTTGATAGTTTTTTTTTTAAAGAAAAAATAAGAAATTTTTTCAAAAGTAGTTATACAGCAAATTTTGATAGAGACCAATTACGATTTTTTTTTTTCGGAGCTCTTACCGACAGTAATATATATTTTTTTTTCTTTGGGATATCTGTAAACTTACAAATGGATGAGGTTCAATCGTTTTAAATATCTTGTAATTGGTATAAATTTGTTGATAGCAGGCTCGGTATAATTATGAATGAGATAAGGAAAATGTAGAAGTGGGCAAGTAGTATGGACGTGATTTGATAAGGATAAGTTATAGGTGAGGGTAACGGAATTGGTAGTGGTGGGGAGGTGAGGACAGTCGAGTGGGGAAAGCCGGCTGGGCTAGGTTCAGTGTTGGCCATGGAGTCACCGCAGCTGTACGACAGTCCTCTTGGGGAGGGGAAGAAGCATCAGCAACAGCCTCTGCCCGGTCAACTTCACGCCGTCAAGAGGTATACTGAACTTCATGACCTAAACAGCCCCGAAATATCTCTAGATCTGCAAAACCTTATAGATGACAGCCAGTTCGGGGAAGGTATTTTCACTGATATCTTACAACCCAAGGGACAACCTTTGGTTCAACAGCATCAACAAGCTGGCCGCTATCAAAGGTTATCCTACGTACCTCAGCCGGTACATTTCCAGCCTCCAGAAGTGAAAGAGGAACCTTCTGAGGAGTTCAGGGGATATGCTGGCGCATTTGCATCGCCTATGCTCAAGAACCAACTCCGTAAGCACTCCAAGTCCATTGATAAGAATACGGATGAGTACAAGAGGCGTAGGGAGAGGAACAACATTGCTGTAAGGAAGTCACGTGAGAAGGCCAAGATGCGTTCGAGGGAGACTGAAGAAAAGGTGAAGTTATTGATGAAGGAAAATGAGCGCCTTCAAAAAAGAATCGAATTGCTCACCGAAGAACTGAATGTGCTTAGATCTCTGTTCAGTTCTGTCGGAGTTCTCCCAGAACACCTCCATCGGGAGCTCAACAAACACCTCGAGTCTTACCAGCAGCACTGAACTCGAATCGACTATTTTCTGCATAGTTACCATATGTACAGTATATATCGTCCCCTTACAAGAGATCATATATATATATTTATTTATATAAATATATATGAACTCATATACCAAGTCGGATAATGAGAGGTAATGTTTTTCTAAATAGCCTTTCAAGGAAAACAGCATATACCAACATAAACACACGCCCGGACGTTCACACACTCCAGCTCTAAATTACACCTATGACAACCTGACACACACATATCAATATTACATCAACACACACATTATCTTTCTCTACCGATAACTGTTATAGAAATTTAGAAGGCCCATCGTTTAGCTTCAATAGCAAGAGACATTGTCATGAGAACTGTATACATTTAATCCCAAGTGACAAGTGTGTTGTAAATTGGTGAGAGGCTGCTGAAGGGAGCATCGGAGTAAGAGTTTGTGACCAGTGCTTCGATATTTAGAGGCGAGTACATTCTTTTTCAGTTGGTTGCCAATTACTCTTATATTAGAGCAATCATTTAATTGTAAATTGTTTGGCACAAATGTCAGTAACTAGATAGAAAGGTCTCTAGGCAATTACCTGGTTTGAGGTAATATTATTTTATCTACAATTTTTACAATATAATGTGTTTTTTCAACAGGATAATATTTTTCAAATTTACTATGAATACTAAATATTCGTGGGAAATATTTTTTTAAGAGGAAATTAATATTTTTATTAGAGTGGAGTGGTGTGCAGCTAATTTTATAAAGATAGCTTATCCATTCTTGCAAAGGTTCGTAAACATTTCTATTCCATATTCGCAAATTTTATTTCAAATCTGCTACTTCCTGTTCTAAGCTCAGTTATGCTAATATATTTTTGTTCTCCTCCCAATTAAATGAATGAATTTTTATTTACTTATTTTTGAATGGTTGTTGATTTTGACACCTTTAAACGTTTTGTACATTTCAATTTATTAAAGAACTATAAATCATTGTAAGAACGAAATCTGATTTTATGAATGAGATGGTGATATTTCTGTCTTTACCGTTTTGACAAATAATCTGGATGGTTGTTATTAGAATTTGCCTCGGAAAAACAAATCATTTGGATATAGAATGACCTTGACCAATTGGAAAACAGCATATCTGTCAACCATTTTATTAATTAGTACTCCAATCACATGATGCTAATCTTATCAGTTTTGTGATTAAAGGACACAAGAATATGTTCTTTATGGATTTTTTTTCACCATCAATCTGAAATGGCCCAATAAAATAACATACATAACTTCACTATTTCAATAGATTTCATCTCAAAATGATTTATTGTTGAAATGGATTGATTTGTTTTACTGATAGTGTCTCTATCCTAGGACCTATTTGACGAAATTGAATCTGTTTTTGAGTTTATTGAAAAGCCAAGCGAATGAAACGCAGAAATATCGAAAATGATTTTCCTTTATCAATGTAGTTCTTTAAAAATTATTAAAACCCTTGTTATAATTGTTGCAAAACATTTAAAATATCTTATTAAAATCAATTGTCAATGGCCAGTTGTCTGAGAGTAACCTTGCTTGCATACAACGAACGCACAATAAAGTACTTAGAAATTGTTTATGTAAAAGATGATTAAACAAAAATTTCGATATCTATATTTATAACGGAAGTAATATTTTTTATTAATGAATATAAATATATATATCTATTGTAAGATTACTGATACTGTTGACTGTACGTTAGCTTACCTGTTTAATTTGTCTTACCTACCTGTGATAATCTTTGTAAAAAGAAATAATAAATAATGAATATATAAATTAAATAGGTCATATATAAAATATTATTTTTAAATAACTAATTAATGATGACACCAATCTTGAAAATATTTAATTATTTCGTATTTAAATATGCCAATTGTTATATGTGTAGTGAGAAAGAATTACTTTTGACAATATGAGGTAAATTTTTTTAGAAATGTTTGCTTTATTTGATAATGTAAGTTATTTTATACAAATATATTTATTTTATTATGATAATATATTTTCATAGTTTTAATGTCTCTTTTATTACTTTTTCTTTAAGATTTTTTTTTTTAAACTTTATTTATTTTATTTTTTTATTGAATAAATAATGTGTAACTTTATCAAGCTTTTCATTTTAGCTTTACTGTGATTATATATTTTTTTAAAATGATTTCTATGTATATAACCATTTTGTGTTGTTTTATGTATTATTTGAGTAAATAGAAAATTTATTTAGAATTACTTATAAATATAAAATAAATCATATATATATATACATACATATATATGTACATACCGATAGGGAGCGAGAATTATGTTGGCAGAATTATTAAGAATGATGTAATCTAGTACCTTATAATAGAATATATTGTTGTATCTATTTACCTTTTTCATCAGATAAATAAAAATTGTTGAGCCCAATGTACAAATTTAAATAAATATTTATTTTATATAATATTATTTTATAATTTAAACGTTTTTATCGTTATTATTGTCAAGCTTACCTTTCCTTGTTGTTTAGTAGATATATCTTAATAGGTTCCATATTATTTTTTTTTTTTTAATTTAGGTTCTACAAGTTGAACATATATTTTGGTAAAGGTTAGACATTTAATTACAATCTATTTTATATCCTATTAAATATATATTTAATATCAAGGGTTTTCTTTAATGCTAGCTATTCATTCAATAAAATAATAAATTTTCTTTTAAAGGATAAATTAACTGTGTATGTATATATTATATTACAAAAATAGCACATACACAGAGAAACATAATTGTATGCCATTGTACTAGCACAAGTAATGGCATTGAATTAAATCGTAAATTAGTAATCGATAAAATGTCTTTGAAAAGACTTCAATATTAAATTATATTGTTGTATTTTTTATATCAATATTAACAGTTCTTAATGAACTAACAGAGACCATTATTTCCCGGGATTCGTAAACAATCAAAGAACGAATCCCGTTGTATGTAAATTTTTTTTGGAAATAAAATCATTAATCAATTAAATATAATTTATTGCAATAGAGCTAAGCATTATTATTTTTTTTTAGTAGGTAGGTAATTGACGTCATTAGAAAGGAGAAATCAGGAGAATAGATATATTTTATTGAAATCTCCAATAGAAGTATACAACATTATAACACGTAACTCATAGAACATATACTGAACTCCTGAAACAATATCTAGATGAGACTATGAAAAGATTTTAGAGAAATCTCAGTCATTTATTTCGAATGAGTCTCGATTGAAGAGCTAAACTTTAGGGACGACAAAGTTAATAATATTTTTAGAAATTCAAATGGAAGAAGTATATTATATCTATGCATTAATAAATACATAAAGTATTCATTTAGCATATTTATATTTAAACTTTTTTATTAAGAAGACGAAATGCAACTATTTATTTTGACAAGACATGCTGACATGCTTGAGGAAGTTTCTTTGAAGTTTTACGTGTAAAAACTTAAATATTGATGTTATTATATTTCTCATGGATTCATCTTATAGAACTATTTCTCACCTTACCAAGACATATTTAAAATCCATGAAACATTTATGTAAATTTTAAAAAATTAAGAAAATATTTTTGTTGTACCATTAGCTGACACTGATTGATTTGAAATGTTCCTATAACTGACTGAAATGAAAAAAATGGATGTAACAAAGAAAAATTTCATATTGCTCACTTTAAGATTAGCAAATATTACCTTCAACTTAATATAAAACTAACATTTTGCGTATCTCGACTTAAATGTATCAATAAATGCGAGTCACTGTCAAGAATCTGTGGCAATAGGAAAGCACATTTTTGCTTTATATTTAATCCAAAACATTAGCAACTTTTTTTTTTTTTTTTTAACGAGACAGTAGTGAATGGTCTCATTTTTAAGATTGTTATATTAAATATATCTCTTTGAATTTATGAGAGCATAGGCCTGTCAACTACTGGCAAAAGCCCCCATTATAAGGCTCCAGTAGCTGGCATCCATTAAATATCTAATTCCTTCATCAAGAGAAGTTATAAACAGACAAAACATAGTTTAAAAACACTCCAAACAAAACAATCAAACAAAAATTGTGGGATAAATTTTGTTAGTTAAAGAAAAAAAGGCAAACCTAAGGTATGGTATACGTTGCTCTTATTGACGGATGGTTGTTCCAGAGACCGTGAGAGATCTTCCTAATTTGCCACTCATTATTTAAGTTGCAATTTCCGGAAAGACTAAAGCAAAGCTGACAAAAATACAAGGAAACAATATATAAACTAAAAATATATGAAATAGAAGTCTAGGAGGTAATGAAATTTTATTATTCCCATTTTTCGAGGAGGGGTTCATGAATTGGTACAAGGTCAGCTATTCGTGCTTTTACAGTACTATCAATATAATACAATAATATTACTTCATAAAAATGTTTATAGTTATGTATAAACGACTTGCTTTAAGCATTTTTTACCAGTTACTGCATGACAATATTTTCAGTTTGCATAAAAAAGAAAAAGAAAAAAGAATTGGTGAAATGAAAAATGAGTCAATGAGGCTAAAGTTATTATTTCAAAAAATCTGTATCAGTAATAACAAATGCTCATTTAATAATGGTTAGATAAAAACAAAATGAAGGGTGTGGTTAAAATGTTAAAGAATATTTAAAAGTTTTCAATAGGTACTGTATGTAATTAGAACTACTTTCTGTCCAAGTTACAATATTTTTTTAGGCACTTTCAATTCCTTAACTAAGCGGATGGCGCAGCCTGAATGATACTGTTACTGGGTATAACCACTGGATATACCTTTATATTTATATGCTTCTGGCACAATTTCGTTTACTTTTGCGTTTTGTTCTATTGTAACTATTTATAACTAAACGTTTTTTATTTATAACTGTGTGAATAATTATAGAAGTTTTATTACTGTATACTGTTTTATTTTCACCAGAATGTACTGTTTTTTTTTATTCGTAGCGTTAATAAGGAGCCTGTTGAGCTCCCCATGCTTTACAGTATCGTTCATCACATATATCATACCCACCAATGCTTGGAGGTTGTCATTGGCCAATTTTTTTGTGCCTCACGAGGTAAGTAGGTTCATTTTCTTTACCAGCGAAAGCTAGACATTCAGGTGATGTGTACTGGATGGATTCAATGGCGATCTTACATAAGTGACATTGGTCACTGATATCTTCTCATCCATATTTCATGTAAGCTAGATGGTAACTACCTGATTCTGAATGATCGGAATAGACCTTTCCTTTTATCGATTCATTTATTTTTTCAAATCGGAAGAAGTGTCCTGGTTTTATTATTCATTACGACATAACTTATTAAAACGAATTGCCTCAGTATACCTAGTTCTGCCATAAATACTGTTACAAAAGTTGAACTTTGTTTACATGCTTGGGTATTATTTAGATTATCCTTATCTCTATCAGGCTATTTTCTTTACATGTCAGAATAATAATTCCAATTAGTCTGTATTTTTCTTTTACTCAGTTAAAATGGAGTAGGGTGATAAAGAAAACCGAATAGCTGTGATCACCTTACACAAAGTTGGAAAATGTAGGTCAGAGATTTTCAACATTTTGAAATCTTTGGGTATCAGCCGTATGTTCGTGTACCGCACTATAAATAGATGAAATGAGACCCTGTCTGTATGTGACAGACCTCGACCGGGCCGTCCCCGCACTCTGAGAACGGTAAATGCATTGAGAACATTGGCTGCTCGAATCAGAAGAAATCTCATTCGAAAACAACAAATCATGTCTCGGGAAATGGTCTGAATCTCTTTCAGATCAATGCCTCGCATAATAAAAAGTGACGTTAGGATGGATGCATTTGGAAGAATGACAGGACAAAGGCTATCCACATCCCTTTAAAAAAAGCGGATTGATACAAAGTGGTCCTTGGCCATTACACCAATGGTCTTCATCGAATGATCTTGTTTAGCGATGAGAAAATGTTTTCTATTGAAGAAAACATTAATCCCCAAAATGATCGTGTGCACGCTCACAGCTTTAAAGAAGCCCAGGAAGTCATTGGAAGAGTGGAAAGAGGTCATCACCATTCCTCAGTGATGGTTTGGTGGGGAGTTTGCTTTGATGGCACCACAAAGCTCCATTTTTGTGAAAAAGGAGTTAAAACAGCCGCTAAAAACTATCAGGACGATATTTTGGAACCTGTTGTCAAGCTCTAAATGATACTCTGTTTGCTGGAAGTCATTGGGTTTTTTATCAGAATCCCCCTCCAGCTCACAAGGCCTGGTCAACTCAGCAGTGGCTGCAAAAGAACATTCCAGAGTTCATCTTCTCTGCCTCGGATTGGCCCTCAGAAAGTCCTGATCTCAACCCACTAGATTGCTTTGTTTCGAACTGGAGAGGAGACATGCCACAGAGCACACCCTAACTTGGAAAGCCACAAACAATCTCTGGTCCGAGTAGTCGAGCACTTTCCACCAGAAGTGCTGCGTGCTGCGATTGATGACTGGCTACGAGGATTAAATGCCTGTATCAAGGTAAAAGGGGGACATTTTGAGTAATTTATTTAGTTTTAGTAGGTGACGATCAGATGAAGCCATTCACCAAGTTTTAGGCAGATGTTAATAAGTTGGTAAAAAGGGGGTTTTACCACGGACTATTACTTGACTTAACACTTAACAGATATTTCATGAGGAGTTTATCGATTCGTATACAGAAATATTTCTCAAAATCACATTTTTTTTTCTCTTGATTTTCAAAATTTGGGCCGAAAAGTAGATATTAATGAGAATCTGAATTTTTTAGTTGCAATAGTGCTCGACATCTCCCATGTATTATAGATGGCATATCTAAACTCAAGTCAAGCATGCTACTATCGAGTTGATTTATACTAATTCCTTTTCACTTTTACAATGCAGTTTTAAATCATTCGTCTACAGAGTATGAAGGAATAAGATTAAGGACCCATTTTAATCAAGTTTCAAAATCTATTATGGGCTCATACATTAATCCACCTAAAGTATCACTGCTTGACAAAATAGTAAGAGACTTGAAGAATCTACCTGAAATATTTCTTCAATTAATGATGTGTCGAGATTGTAACTATCAAGTTTAGGTAATTGAAATATCACATTTCATGTAATCATCGTGTATTGAATACCTACTTCTATGAGTCACTTGTTCTTTACTGAATCGGACGCCTTTTCGTAATCAATAGCCAATAAGAAGCCTTTCATTTTTTTCTTTGATCGTTTTTATGAACGAATTTATAACTAACTGACCCTAGATGCACTTTTATGATGATATGATGTATGATATGATGAAAATACTTTCAGGCAGAGATGCTCTTTTATGATGATATTACTAATCACATTTGGACGGCCAGATATTACATTAATATATATTCGAAATTATTTGATATTTGTGAACTTTCTGAGAATACTGACAGATCCCAATAATACTATCAGTTGCATTTTTCACATTGTCATAATCGGT